GCGTGTGGAGAGCCGTGTCCACGGTCTGGCCATCGCAGTGGTGGCACTCAGGCGTTGGCTCCTTGCGGATCAGACACAGGTGATCCCCGAAACATCCTTTCCTAGTGATCACCTGCGTCAGTCGGTATGAGAGGGTTCCGTGACGCCTCTCGAGCCAATCCTCCATAACGGGTCTTACCGCCGCGATGACGACCCCCTAAAAACATGAACAAAAACTGCTTTTGGGGGTCGATGAGGTCTAACCCTTATTAATAAACACAAGGTCACATTTGAAACTTTCAAGATACTATATTAGTTGTGTTACGTGTACCAACTTCTGATAAGAATACTAATTAAGTCTGAGGTCTGAGTTCTGTTCATTTTAGAAAAAGGGTCACTTGCCAAAAATAGTTTGGGAATCCCTGCTCAAGAATCACAGAAGGCGTTGTCGCCTTTTGAGCAACATTACGAGTTCAAACATGTCCTTAGTAATGTAAGTAATAGTTAATAAAAAATATGATAACTGCCTGTTATGAGTTCAATTGGTAGTAATTAAAATTTATGAACAAAAAGAAAAAAGTTATTAAGAGTGATTATTATATACATAAATCGGTATCAAAAAAAAAATTGGAATAAGATTTTCATATAAGCTAATATGGAGCCGCTGATTGGTTCGCTAAACTCTTTTAATAACTAAATTCGGCTTTTTAGGAACACCGTGAAAATGATCTGACAATCTTAAGGGATATTGCCGTGGCATTCTTTTAGCAATTTATGGTCGATTTAGTGTTGTTATCACTACGAATTCTTTCCTTTTTTTGGTGACAGCTCAAATAGGTTATAAATGAAGAAGCATGACCCACATGTATACTTTTATGTATTCTTTACATAACACGTGTATTAAGCAACTCTATTTCCTAATGTATGACGTGTATGACGTGTCTCCTACAAGCCTTCGAAAATTTCAGATATTTTGTAACTGTTTTATTGCTCAAAGAAATGTTAATAAACATTTAATAGCTAAATATAAAAATACATACATTATGCATGCCTATTGCAATTCAATTAGCATAGTCTCTGAAACTATGTCGACGGTTTAAAACTTACGAGTAAATATAGAAATTTTGGTTTTTTAACGTGCATACGTACATACAAATATCGAAGTAAAACTACAATGGACTATATGCCTACATAACATTGATGTAATACGTTGGCACATTATATTCATCGAGCAATTAATAGAATAACAGGCTCTTCAGGTTTGATTTCATATTTAGATATTTTTTATCATCTACACAACACGAAACATACATACAAATATACACTTACAGAGGTAGGCAGAGACGTTTGAAACGCTAACATTTTGCTCATTTTAGTCACACTTACGTAATTAACAGGACTATATTATAAGTAAATGTGAAAGTGAGTTTGTTTGTTACGCTGTCACGCCTAAACCACTGAACCGTTGTTAAATATTCTTTCACCAATTAAAGCTACATTATCAGCGAGTAACATAGTAACATACCGCGATAACCGACAACCACGCGGGCGGAGCCGAGGGTAAAAGCTAGTTAATAACTAGGTACTTCAAAATAAGATCAATGCTAACGAGTTTATTTTCATGACTTTCTTTTACTCTGTCTAATAAAAACCAAACGTTGCTAAGCTTAATCAAGCGCAGCGAGTAGCGTCTATGTCGCTCGTCGTCGGAGGGTGGCGGCAGTCCTGGCACGTTTCCCACCTTTTGATATCCTGGCGGATATAATTATGACTAGTTGCGCGATTCGCCGGGGTGAGGGTGGGAGAGATCAGGACTAGCTCGAAATGCGGCGGCACGCTCACCGACAGGCACTGGTGCAGTAGCACGCGTGGCTGGAACAGACGCAGAATACGCGCCGACGCGCTGTCGATGCTGGCTGTCGAGGTAGGTAGGGAGGGAGGTCGCGTCGTCTACCGACTGACGCAGGTACTCACTGGGTATAGTTTACTTCGTGAGTGCCTCAATTGGATTGGACGCGAGGAGGCGGCACAATGCTACGTCGCATGGGCGTCTGAACGCGAGGTCCTGGTCGACCAAATCGGACGAGAACCTGACCCCGACAGCAATCATTGCTACAATGCTGGAGAGTGAGGAGGTCTGGGGCGCAGTGTTATCTTTCTGTGAAGCTTTTAATGCGCCAGAAAGGAGACCGCTGAACGGGATCGGGAGAGGGCCGATCCCGAGCGTAGAGGACCTCTGCGACGTTATCAGCCGTCGACGGGGCCGCAGGCTACCAGAGAGTGGGGACCTCTGGTGGCAGATTAATTGCTGCGGTAGGCGATAGGATGGCGTCCCCGATCACATAATGTGATCATGCCGCAACACACATTGATATAGCCGTTAAGCGGGTGGAAACCTGCTTTTCCCGGAATAAGGGCCTGGCTAGGCGCGTCGTCGATCCGGTGGGACCTGAAATAACATGGCCCGGGTCCTCCCCAGAGCAGGGCACCTGAGACCGGCTGTCGGGGTGGTTTTAGTGGAAACACCACATACTCCTGGCTCGTGAGTCTCCGAAGAGCCGCAGCTCCGGCGGAATTTTCCACCTAGTCAACAAAAAAAAGAGTCTTTTTTTTCTTAAGGGTCAAGGCTAAATTAAAGATGTATCAACATAATATGAGACTTTAATCACCCCTGGTACAGAATTTGGCTGTAGGTACCTACGCCCACGTTTTTTATTCAAGTGAGTCGATAAACTCACGATAGTCCTCAATTTAAACACATTCAGTGGACAAAATATTCGCACGTATTCAAGCATGAATAAGAATAAGTATTTAATATAATATTCATCGAGCCAATCCTCCATAACGCGTCTTACCACCGCAATAATGTCCAAGAGGATACGGCGGAGTTGGAATTTCTGCTCGTCGATTACTCGAGTCCCAGGATCCAGAACAAGCCTAAGATACCTCATTAAGGGATTTAGATTTTTAATCTTAGCTTTTAAACCAATCAGCTATTTTGTTTATCTCGTCTATAGTTGGCGCGAAAAGCGAAATAATATTTTGATGAAAGTAGATACCTATGCAATTTAAATTTGTGACAAACTATTCAAGTTCTTTATTAAAATTTTTTTCTGAATACAGTTTTTTTTTTACTTTACACTTACACAATAACTAATAATACAAAATATTTATAAAGTACTCTGTCGATTGATGACATCAGACAAATGACTACAACACCACGTTTTTGTGGCCTATTTTTTAATTCAATTAAAAATGTACTTTTATTTTAAGGGTAAAATAATGAATTAAATATAATACATTAAATAATAATATTAATAAAAAAGGACAGGTACTACTTATATCTCTATGTATATTATGTATATATATAAATATATATACTACCAGCACAGGGCAGGCACAGGCCACGAATCTGGCATATTATGCCTGACCATTTAATAGGCTGTGTAATAGCATTTAGTAGGCTGAAATAAAATGCAATCAACGAAACTGATTGAAAAGTATTAAGACTAATAAATTATGACCACTAAAATAAAATAAATTAGGTTACACTCAAAATAGAATCGAAAAGACATAATATGGATTTAGAGTAAAAATACGTTTGTCCACATATCAACATTATTAAAATATGAGGCACATTTTAATAATGTCTATCATTAACCATCGTATCGTTCATTTTCATTCTTGTCAGCTGTGGTTACAGTTCATTCAATTTCAGTTGACATGAGACAGTCTGTCAGTTGACTGAAGTCAGCGGACTCAGCGGTGTGGTGTGTATTGAATTTGAAAGTTCAGCACACCTGTTTACCTTGTACAAAATCTGAATAGTAGCATTTTTTAAATTTAGGCGTTTGATTTATTTAATATCTTACTTTTTCTATCTCTACTTAATTATTACTTTGGATTTGCTTTTCTAATGACGTTATAATTGTTAAGAACAGGTACTAAATCGGTTTGTGTATCAATATGATCCCACTTTTAATCATCATCGTCTGTACTACAATTACGTTTGGCGATGAAAATGTGAAGTTTGCTGCTATTGTATTTAGACATGGTGATAGAACTCCGATTGATCCTTATCCCAAGGATCCCTGGAAGACTGAGTCTCTATGGCCAGTTAAATTTGGAGAACTAACAAACATTGGCAAAATGCAACATTATGCATTAGGAAAATGGCTGAGACAAAGATATTCGGTAAGCTGACTCCATTGCATGTATGTTTAGAATTCACAGTATCATATCACACACAGTTTTGTAATACATAGTGTATTTGAAATATAATATTAATTAGTGCCCTACTTAGAAATTATTTGAGCATCCTTAAAGTAACTGTTTATATTCTTTATAAACATAAATCTATGTTAAACATAATATAATGATATAGTTGTGCACGGATGGCATAGTGGTTTAAGAGGTTCCCATGTCGCTTCCTACCTACGCCGATTGTTGTGGGTTCAAACCCCGCATAGGACAACACTTTCTGTGATCCACAAATGTTCTTTGTGGTCCGTTTCATGTATGTTTTAAAATCCTCTGCGACACAGGATATATTCCTAATGCGGGTGTTGTCTCTTATAAAAAATAAGAAAGAAGAAGAAAAACTAATTTCTAACAATACATACAATATGACAACTATTACAAAAATGGTTTTGGCTGGTTTGGTATTGACATTCAATGAAATACATAAATATCTGATATCAAGTATGAATATCAAGTTTTCTGTAATTATATTGTATGCAAACCATATTGCCAGTCCTATAACTTTAAATGTTTTAGCAATTAATTCAAGCAGATAATATGAATAGAACCTTAAAAAGGTCCTTAAGCATGTGACCCAGATTTCTAATTCTACCTTACTTTAGAAAAAAATTAGCTACAGATGCTGTTAAATAATTTTGGGCTAGTTTGCGAGGTAAATTTTTAAGAACTGTGTAATCACTTTTACTTTCAGAATTTGCTATCCAGAGACTTTGATCCATCTCAGATATATGTTCGATCTACGGATGTGGACTGCACACATTATGTCTGCACAAGCTAATTTAGCAGGTTAGTTTCTTTGTTATGAAAACAATGTGATTTTTAACACAGTAAAAGTGCTTTATTCACATTGTGGAAAACATTTTTTGTCATTAATTGATATTAAAGACTGACAGATAATTTAGGGAAATCATTCAAATACTTAGATGAACATTTTTAAAGGTTAAAATATTCCCAAAACCATGCTTCTCCAGCTTTGACAGTTATCTGAGACTCTAAGTAACAGTGATATTACAATGCTGAGTATGAGTGACAATGCATGAAAAATTTATTGGGATATCTTAGGATACTCATAGTTTAATAACATGCTAAGAAATAATCTAGCCTTTTAGGTATGAATAATGAGAATAATCCTTAACTTTTCTAGGTCTGTACCCTCCATATGGCAGTAATGTATGGAACTCAGACTTAATGTGGCAGCCGATACCCGTACACACTGTTCCCGAAATTGAGGATGAAATACTTGCAATGAAAAAACCCTGTCTAGCTTATGACAAGGAGTATGAGAGGCTAATCCATTCAAAAGATTTTATAGAAAGACAAAATAAATATCGGGAATTAATGGAGTAAGTTGTCATGTCATTAATGTAGATTAGTTAGATTAGAAATATTTTTTATTCTTCCTTTTAGAAGAGACAAGTTTTCTAAATATAATCAGATTTTTGTTACAGCTATTATGTAAATCAAATTTATGTATGAATATGTGTATAATGCAGAAACAGTATTTAAATGTTAATTCTCATAATTGACATTAACCTACTTTGTTAGTTTGTTTGCTTTTATCTTACATTAATGTTTTAAGCAATCTTCTTTAGCAACCAGACTAGACCTGTAATAGTTTTGATGACATTGAAGGTTTACATATACATATATAAAAAGTGAAAACTCATTTCAAAATCTTGAATTGAAATAATATTCATATGATATTAAAATGTTAAAAATATTGAAGTATTAAATATTTGCAAGATTGTCATAGTGCTATCTATGAAAATATACAAATGTTTTAAGTGAGAATTGATACAACATAAATGTTTATGTTGTATCAATTCTCACTTAAAACATTCTAAATCATAAAATAATATTTTAAGTGACATCACTTAAAAGATTAATTTTGAGATAAAAACTATCCTATGTCCTTCCTTCTATTCCTGTATGTTTAAGCGTGAAAAGGTAACATACAGACAGTCACACTTTCGCATTTATAATATTAGTATGGATTAGTCTGTGTTAGAAGGGTGTCCGTTGTGGTCGTGGTCACTTGTGTAAGTCTAGATTAAACATAGTTACATGTGTGTATTTTGCACAAAGTGCATAAAGCTTTAGTTAGCATAAAGTTAGTTCAGTTAGTTTATAGATGATTTCCAGTCGCCTGTTTAATAAACCGCGATAATAAACAGCTGACAATTTGACATTTTACCATGTGGTATTTTGCACAAAGTGCATAAAGCTTTATTTAGCATAAAGTTAGTTCAGTTAGTTTATAGATGATTTCCAGTCGCCTGTTTAATAAACCGCGATAATAACAGCTGACATTCCGACAATTTGACAACTTTTTGTTTAGTAATAAAAACGTTATCACGGGTGGAAAATCTACAAATAGTGTCTACTTATCGTAACAATTTGACATATTTCGGTTTATTAAACAGAGGGTGGAGTGCAAGTTTATTTCATATCGACTCGCTCTCGACGGCGAGCACGTTTATCGTTGCGATTGGTGGAGATTTCAGTGCGGGCCAATCGTAGGGCTCAACGCGGTTACGTGACGATCGTTGTGACAATTATGAATTATGTCGACTTTTGACATATTTGCAAATAATTATGTTTCGTTTAGCTAAATGAGGGTAAAATAGAAAAAAATATTAACAAAATAAGAGAATGAATCAATCACTAGTTTTTTTTTTTAATCGAAATACAAATACACTTTGGGAAGTTTAGTTTAGAAAATATTTTATTTATAATCAATCATGTGTTTTAATATAATAAGCAAATAAATGATTCATGCAAATAGTTGTATTAATGGCTGTAGAACTGCAAATAGCTTAATCATTAAATACTTCGTCCACATTATAACAATCTACTCACTATACATCAACTACATCACTGTCAAATAGTAGTCCTATACTTACATATTTATCAGAAGCAATGTCTGTGTTGAATACTATGTAGATACCTGTGTATACTCGTACAAATTGTAAATTAGAGATTAGTCCTACCAGGCACACGCCGAGTACCGCTAGTAACTCAATAATTACGGTTTATTTGGCGACTTCGAAATACGTAATATCTTGTACCTACTTTATATTTTTTCAGTTACCTGTCAGTAAACACTGGTATGAAAAGTTGAAAGCTACTATGATATTGATGATATCTACAGTACTCTGTACCTTGAATCTCTTTACAACTTTACGTTGCCCAATTGGACACATTCTGTGTATCCGATAAAATGCGGGAACCAGCCTGCTATAGGTAGTAATTAATTCATTATGATTATTTTTATTATATTATTTAAGTACACATATGTCTCTTCAATATCTTGTTCCTGACCCTGTATAAAAATAATATTTTTTTTAAATGAATTGTCGACTTGCCAAAACATTTCTAACCCTTATTTAAATAATGGGTTTCAAGAAATAAATATTCGACGACACATCAAAAAGTGTAAAACCTTAAATTAGGTATTTAATTCGGTGTGTTTCGACTTCCGAGTCAGGGTTTTTTTAAAAGTAAGTCATGAGCTGATATATCGTTATAGTCTCATCGCAATATTCCTTGTTTTAGTTTCTGGGCAGCAACCAATGATGACGATCATGAGTAGAACTGTAAAGAATAAATAAATGTCAACTCTCAAGCTTTACTAGTTAAAACAAAATATACATCTTTCATAGGAAAAAACCCGAAA